TCCCCCCACACTTCATCACAGTCTTGGGCAGGCATACACTCCTCCCCTCCAGTCCCAAGCTGGGTCTCTGGAGGGGAGGGGGTCTGTCCTCTGAGTCTAGGCTCTGTATCTTCTCACCAGATGCAGTGATCCCCAAAGGAAGCTGAGTCTGGACTTGCACCAGATCACAGGCTTTGGGTGGGCGGGCCCAGATCAAATCGCGTCCCTGGAATGTCCATTATGCATTTCTGAGAGGCCCGGTTTCTCCTTTCTGCTGATTCTGCCTTTCTCCCTCCCTGCCTTCCAGCTCCCTGTCTTTCATGATGATGATGAGGAGGAGGAGAAGAAGAAGGAGGAGTTGCTGGTTACCGTCAGGATGTCAGACAAGGATCTTTCTAATTCACTGGCTTTCAAATCCAGCGCCCACAGGAATCATCAGGACAACAGTTAACATGCAGGGGCCTGGGACTTCCCAATCATTAAGGTCCAGGCCCTAGAATGTGTGCTTTGCACTAACCCTGTAGTTCTTAACGCATGCTCCTCCACCAGGGAAAAACCCCATCACCACATCAGAGAGGGAAAGTGACTGGGCACACAGAGGACTGTCAGGCCCACAGAACAAGTGGATGGGCTGTGAAGCTCAGCACCAAGGGGCTGTTGCTCTGACTCAGGCTTGTGAAACACAGAGTCTTCTGCAGGCATCCTCACCATGGCCATCACACCACCATCAACCATCACCACCACCACCACCATCAACCACCACCACCACCGTCAACCACCACCACCACCGTCAACCACCACCACCACCGTCAACCACCACCACCGTCAACCACCACCACCACCACCATCAACCACCACCACCACCGTCAACCATCACCACCACCGTCAACCATCACCACCACCGTCAACCACCACCACCACCGTCAACCATCACCACCACCGTCAACCATCACCACCACCGTCAACCACCACCACCACCGTCAACCATCACCACCACCATCACCAACATTATCGTCACCATAGCCATTATCACCATCACTGTCACCACCACCATTGCCGTCATTGTTACTTTCTCCCACAGTGTCCCAACATACTCACCAACTTCCCTCTACAGGCTGGGATTTGGTCAGGATGAGGCAACCTGGGCACATTTAGAAGATTCGAGACCCTGAGCCCAGGACAGAAGCCGGTTTGCCTGCTCTGCCCCTACACACAGCTGGTGCTGAGCTGACCCTTCCAGCCTCTGCTGGCTGAGTCCTGAGATCTGGCTATAGCCTGTGCTTCCACTCTGGTTGGGACCCGGGACCTGCCATTGGAAGTATGGGCACCAGTATCCCAGGTCTTCCAAGGGCTCCCTGGCTTTCTGTCCACTTCGTCTTGCAGGTCTCCAGCAAGCCAGAGGCTGGTGTGAGCTGACTACGTCCCTCCTCGGGGACCATGGCTCAGGGGTGCTTTCCCAGGTGCCAGCTTGTAAGCACAGGAGCAGGGATCAGGCCTCTTGGTATTTCCCCCTCTCCACCCAATGTCACACATCCAAGGCCACCTGTGCCTTTCTAGGCTGTCCATGCCTAGATGGACTTGCACTTTTCTACATTAAAAGTAAGAAGAAACAGGAGAAATTAGGTCAACAATTTATTTCATTTAACCCAATAGGTGTTTAAAACACTGTTCTTCCACAAGGAGTCAGCGTGAGACAGTGGCGAGGTTGTCACATGCCCCTGGGCTCTGGAGTTCCTGAGCACCTCTGAGGGTGCCTCACAGTGGGGATTCCCTGTGCTTTAGGTGCCCAGGGGTCTCCTATGGGAAGAGCCTCAGATGGGCAGTGCTGGCCTAGACCACAAAAAGGCCATCTGCTTCCTTGATGTGCAGTTCCCAGGGGGCTGGTCTACGTGAACATGGGGACACAGCACTGGGCACTGAGCAGGCACTGGTGCCATGCCTGCCCAGTGATCCTTCAGTGGCTCCCATGGTGTGCATGGAAGATTCAAGACTGCTCCAAACCACCATGCCCCTTCCTGCCCTGCATGGTTTCCTGCCCCATAACAGCCTTTCCTTCTCTGCACCTTGGGGAACAACCACAGGGAGGGCTCCTCCTGATCCCTGAGAGACTGCAAGCCTCCCTTTCCCGCAGGCTCTCTGGAAGTTCACTGCTCAGCTGATCTCAGTAGGGCAGTCCAGGTTGTGCCCAGGGCCAGTGGCCTGCCCAGTCAACGCGCAGCTCCCTCCCATGGCCCCTCCATCCACAGATGTCCTGAGAAATGTGCTGCCCTGCTGTGTTCTGTGCAAACCCTACATGGAGGTGCACGGTATCCTGCAGGTGGTTGTGGGAGTGAAGACTAAGTGCGTGTTTCACACCCAGATGCTCAGGTGCACACACACACACACACACACACACACACAGAGTTCACAGCCCACATATATCCCTGCAGAGAGAGGATCCAGGCAGTGATGGAGCCTGCATCCGAGCCTCTCTATCCTGATGACATCGCTCTGTCTCCTTTCCTTGTAATGTGTGGGTGTATGTCACCTCCCTCACCAGTCAGTAGCTCATTTTTCACAAGTACTCAGACCAAGGAGGCAGGAGGCTCAGATGCCAACTCTGCAGACAGCTAGCTGTGTGACTGCGGGAAATATACTCGAGTTCTCTGAGCTTCAGGGTTTTTGTTGTTGCTATGTTTTTTGAGGCAGGGTCTCACTATATAACCCTGGCTGTCTTTGAACTCAGGATTTTCCTGCCTCAGCCTCAGGAGTGCTGGTATTACAGGCATATTCCACCACGCCTGGCTGAGTTTCAGTTTTTGCATCCACAGAGGAGGGTGATAATGTCTATGTAATGATATTATCATAGAATTTAACAGTTGAGTGCTACGGGCACCAGCGCAGTCTTCTTTCTACCTCGTGTATGGCACTTGGTAAAGTCACTCACTGTGGCCCCTTTCTCAACAAATGTCAAAGGAAAGAAAGAATCAAAGACAAAAGTCCTATCTACGGTACACCTTGGTCTTGTGTTAAATTCCTGCATGCTTTTGGCTTTGCCTCTGAGCTCACCATCCCACCCATCCCGGATTCCCTCTCCCTTGCCGGCCCTCCTCCCCTTCCCGGCACAATCTTTATGCTGTTTACTGCAGGCAGGGAAGTCTCCCTCCCAGCCTAACTTCCGCAAAGTTTTCTTGGCATTTCTCACATACTTTTTCTTCCATATGGACATTTATCATCATTTTTTCCACTCAAATCCCTCATTAGACACACATTCCCTTTCTATACTAATCCGAGAGGATGCAAGGCATGGAATTTGGCTATAAAGCAAGGCGCTGGCTTCCGGGCAGAGCCTGGCTCCTTACTTCTAGGTGTATCATATCCCCAGATGGGGGCTTCAAGGATGCCCTGGGAGCTTAAGTGCCCCAGGAGATCCTTATTCCTATACCGGAATGGGCTGGGAAGCCTGAGTCCCCAGGCAGGGCTATAGGGAGCAGAGGTGCCTTGTGCTGTCCCTGGAAGCCTCCCCTCCAGCTGCTGTCTGGGTCCCTCTGGACTCAGCTCCTTTTCTGAGTCTCCTCTGGCATATCATCAGCTTTGTCCCCGATTCTTCCCTGGCCCAGTGGCTCTGAGGAGGTGGCTGTGTTCTCCAGTGTAAACTTCTGTCCTCTTTCCTCGGACTCCGGCTGCCCTGAAACCCTCACCTTTTCTCCATCCATGCCCAGCCCTCCCAGGCTCCACTACCTGCAGACTTGTGCTCAGATACAACCACGGCTGCCCCCACGCCTGCCATCGAGGCCGAGGTGGCTCCTTCTGGACTTAGGAGATGCTGCTTCCCTAACTAGAAAAGCTCTAGAAGAAACCAGAGGCCTTAGCGTCAAAGATCCGAGTGTGAGCTGGTCTCTCACTCAATGGAAGACCCTGGCATGTCTGTTTCTTGTTGTAATCCTCTGTTTCTTTCATTTGTAAGTGGAGCCAATATCTTTGTAAGAGTGGTTTGGTTCCAACTGCCTGCAGGCACCACGCAAGGGCTGGAGAACCTGAGCAAAAACCAGACACTCTCCCTGTATCTCCCACACTTGAGGGGCTCAGAGGGATGCCTACCACCCTGTGCCCAACTTGTGCCAGCTCTCAGCCTCAGAGCCAGTGCTGGTGGACCTAGAGTCTGAGAGGCAATGTCAACTGATCCTTGAGCCTTGATTTCCTCATCCCAGAAAGGGCACACTGGTCCCCAAAGAAGTCATCAGAGGAAGTGGACAATGAGCCCTCTTGCCATCTCCTTGCCATCCCTGGTGGCCTTGGCAGAGCATCTGAGGTACAGCAGCTGCCAGCTGCCCACCGTGCCAACTCACACTGACCCCCCTGCCCTGCCCACTCACCCCTGCTGGGCCTCAGCAGGCTGGTTCTTGCCTGCCACGTGTCCTACTCTTCCAGCTGCTGGGAGGTGGAGAGATTTGTCCCTCTGCCTCCTGTGCCTGGAGACACAGGTAGGAAGGAGCGCGCTCCAGATGCAGTCAGAGAACCATGGCTTGGTCAGCGCATCCCAGCCCGCTCACCATGCACACTGTAGAGGGCTGTGCACAGCCAGGGCAGCAGCAGTGGGGTTGGAAGTCACTGGGCCCTGTCTGCTATAGTGTGGGGACTCTTAAAAGGTGGCTCTTTCCTTTCCAACTTTTCCTGGAGCTCCCATCTCCCTCTGCAACACTGGGCTTTCAGACCCAGACTCTCGAAGCCCCCCAGCAACTCCTCACTTTGTGCTGCTCTGAGAGGGTGAGTGACCAGGCTAAGGACACACAGCCCATCTGAATCCAGAGCCCCAACATGACACCCAATTTTCTTGCATCTCCTTCCTTTTTGCTTCCAGGTGGGAAAGAGGAACCATGCTTGCTCCCCTAGGAACACCCCTTTCTCCTCAACCCACTGGTCCCCCCTGAGGCCACCTCTCTGATTCCTCACCCCAGCCTTCCCGTCATCCTGTTTCCCAACTCCCAGAGCATAGGATAGTAGCCTGGTGCCCTCTCTCAGCCCCTCCGGACAAGACTCACCATGGCCAGGACACTGCTCACCACTGCTACTGTCACTGCTGCCAGCGGCCAGGGCAGGAACCACCTCATGCCTGGAAGTCAGCAGCCAAGGCACCCAGAGATCAGCCCAGAGGATCTGACCGCCTCCTGGGGGAGCTGGGCCCAGACTGGCCCCTGCCCATCAGGAGCTGCAGATAGCCTGCTCGGCAGCCCGCAGGGCTTTTATTAAAGAGATCTGACGTCAGGGTGAAGGACAAACCCTGCATTTTCCTCTCAAAAAACTTTTCCTGCCTCTCTCTCTCTCTCTTTTTTTTCTTTCTTCCCTCTGTCCCCACCTCCAGCCTAGCTTGGCCAGCCTCCCTGCTCTGACAGTTCTTAAAGGGGAAGTTACAGGGCTGGGCATCCTCTGAGATGGGTTCTCAAAGGAGGGGAGGGGCACAGGGAAGGGTGATCTGGAGGCAGGGGCGCAGCCTGGGGGCTCTGAAGGGAGTCTGGGAAACACCCTCCCTTTCATACGCCCTTCCTACTTCTAGTCTTCATTTGCTGTCTCCAGCCTCTCTTTCCCAGCTGCAGGCAGAGGAGGAGAGGACTTTCCGTCTATCCATGAGCAATAACAAATTCTTGCTGAAATAGCCTGAGGCACGAGATGCTGTCAGGGTCCGCAGAGCACATCAAAGCCATGGACATCTGTGGCTCCTCACCGTGTCCTCATTGTACAGGGCTGTGCACAGCCAGGGCAGAGCCATCTGCTCCAGGGTCTCTGAACACTCGTTATCCCTGGTGGGCTTGGGGTTCCTGGCCTTGACCCTGCTGGGTCCTTGCTTCAGAAGTCTCTCTGGTGTGAGGAAGGAGGTGGGGAGTGGTCCATGGGGGCCTGCCCTGCTCCACCCAGCATCTTCATGTGGTCAACTATAGACCCTCCTGGTGCCCCACTTTCTCCTCCACCCTCTCCCATGTCTCAAGGCAACCAGACAGGACCTGCGCCTGGTTTCATTGGCAGGTGTGGATCTCTGTCAAAGCCAGCCTGCTGCTTTCAGATGGAATCCTGTCCTGGCATGGCTTCCAGGCCAGTTTCCTCCTGGATGTGTCTTCTCTTCTCTACTCTCTGCTCTGTGATCAACCATGGTGTCTCCTCTGTGCCTCAGTTGGAATGCTCTGCCCTATGGTTTAAATAGTAGATGCTCCTCCACCTCAATTTCCTTTAACAAAGAGATGCTGTGGCTATTTGAGGGAGTAGTGGGCTTGTGCCTACAGAGTGTTTTTACGATCACCCTACACATGACTCCACAAGAGGTGTCTCTAACGATTATTTTTTCATTTTCTAACCTAGATGTATGTTTTAGGCCCAATTTTAGTCAATGAGATTAAGGGGAAATAAAAATCTTCTGGGTGTGCTGAGAAAGGATTTCTTTCCTCAAGAAAAGAAAGAATCTCTATTTATTTTATTCTTTCCAGGTGTATAAATGTGATGGATAGACCTGAAGCAGCCATTTTGGTATATGAGACACACGCCTAAGACTAAAGCCACATATGGAGGATGGCAGAGTAGAAGGAATAAGAGGGCCTGGGTTCTTGGGACTGTGTGTAGTTACTGAACAAAACCTGGAACTGTCACTTCCAGACTTCCCATGACATGAGATATTCAATAACTTATTGCTTAAGTAATAGTCAGTCAGACATTTTTGTTCTTTGGAGACAAACTCATACTACCTGTTGTCTGGAGATTAACCAAAGTCACACACATGAAGTGCAAAGACAGAGGTGTGGGGGCCACATAGAGACTAATGACTTCCGTGCCCATAAATGTCTATCCTCTTTTTCTTCTCACTAACTCACTTGATGCTTTAAAAATGATCCCAGAAGGCCAGCATCCTTGACAGGTGTCAGTAAAGGGATCGCCCCACATGCTGGGTACCAATTTGGGATCTGTGGCCTTTTGATGAACAGCAACACCTGTCCCATGGAAGTCTCAGGACCCGAGCTAGGCAGTGTGGGCAGGCCACAGCAGGGGCAGGACAAGCCCAGAGTGGCCGGGGATTTCAGGAGCACACATCTATCAACCTGAGCTGCTGTAGTCTCTCGGTGTTACACACGGCACCTGACATGCTGAACCCAGAGAGGGAGCATGGCTGTTGCTTTCAGAGCCTGACTGCTTTGAGCAAGGGACAGAGACCCAAAGCTCTACCAGAATGCTGTCACCTCCCTTTCTGGGGGCTGCAGTCATGCCATGGGCACCATGAGCAGCTGTGTCTTCAGTTCAGTTGAATCTGTCGAGGATGACCCAGAGACCGGGGCTGGGTCATGGGTTAGGAGGTAAAATGCCTGGGGGCCGGACCTGTTCTGCCACTTCCCAGAGGCCTTGGGTAGTCATGGGGGGGGGGTCTCTCTGTGCCTCAGTTTCCTTCATTCTAACCCAGTGGGTGTGTCAGCATTTCCGATTGGAGACGTCAGATGGAGTACAGTGTAGGCCAATTGGTCAGGTTGTCTTGTCACCCCCACTTGAGCTGGGCTAACCCTCTAGGCCTGGAGCATCTGCTATGCTGTAAGTGGCCCTTACAACCCACTGGATCTGCCTCTCAGTCTCCATTGGACATCATTGTCCCATCCTATAGATGAGAAAACTGAGCCTTGTGCCTAGAAAGGCTGAGACAGAACTCAAACCTGCAGGTAATTTCCCCAAGTAGACGGCCTTTCTAAGTATTAAGCAACGAATGAATAAATCCAGGAATAAATCAGTACAGCGGGTTGACAGACAGGTGGTGTATCAGTCCATTTTTCATTACTGTAACAAGATGTCTGAGACAGACTAACTTCTCAAGAAGGGAGGTCTATTTAGCTCTCAGTTCTAGATGTTGGTTCAAGGGCACTGTGGGGACATGCACTGGCTTCACTCTGATGAGGACCTGTTGACTGCATCACATCATGACAGAAGCACCATCCCCAGGAAGAAATTATATCACATCACCAAACCAGAAGCTAAGACAGACAGGGTCCCACAATCCCTTCCAAGAGCACACCCCCAAGTGACCCAAAGACCTCCCTAGGCTCTACCTGTTAAAATTCCCACCACATCCAAAATCACCAATTCTCGGGACCAAGTTCCCAATACATATACCTTGGGGGACAAACCATGTCTAAACCCTAGCACATGACCAGTGGACGGATGAACATATGTGTGTGGCGATAAGTCCATTGTCTGGAACATTCCATCCCCAGGTGTTCCTAGGACAGGCTCTGTCTCTCCTTCTTACCCACTCTACCTAAGCAACCTTTCCTCCTCCCTGGCTGGACTCACACTCAATGATTTCCACTTTGTTCTGGCCAGATTTTGTCCAGTAATCGGCTCAAAGGATTACCAACTCAAAGGACAGCACGAGTACAATCTTTCTGTGTATACCAAGTCCCCAGCCCCAGCACAGAGACCCTGCCAAACTGAGGCTGCTTGAGATTTATTTTAATGAACGACCAAATGGACCAATGATGAAGTAGATGAATAAGGTTCTAAAGAGGTGTATGGACAGATAGACGGGAGGAAAGAAGGAAGGAAGGGATGAAGAGAGGGAGGGAGGGAGTCTTTGGAGGAGGGACAAACGAGCACACATCGTTGTGCTCCTGCACTTTCCTTGAGGAAGGTTCAGCCCACAGAATGTCTTCAGGAACCACTGATTGAGAGCAAGCTAGCAGCGGATGAGGATGGGGGCTGGCAGTGTCCGGAACAGCCTGGATGACTAGTAGTACATGGAGTCAGGTAGGGCTCAGGTGAGCCTCATATTGTCCCAGGGATCAGGCCCAGGAGTGTCACAGAGGCGATTCATTTTCACTGTGGCTTGTGGATTTAGTAGACCTGGACAGCCCAGTGTTCATGGTGAGGTCCCAGGGTCACATGGAGCCTCATTGAACCTGACTTTCCTACTGGCTCCCTGCATCCTGATTAGCCCCACCCCTCTTCTTCCCAACTGAGCCATCTCTGTGCCCTTGTGCTAGGATGAATTGTCAGCCCCATCCTTCTAATCTTCAGGGTATGGCTTTTCTTTCAATAATGTACTAAGCTCATGTTATCCCTAGATCCCTAGATCTTTGGAGAAACTGAGAACCAGATTGCTGATGGCTCCTGCCCTACTCACACAGCCAGGTCTGAGCGCAGGCTCCAGCCAGACCTGAGTCCATGCATTTGCAAGTTCTCAACACAGGAAATGTGTGGTGGGTGCTGTGGCCTTTCTCCACTTGGTTCTCCAGCTGCCTCTTCCAAGTGTGTGATTCCTGATGGCTGCCTCAGTACTCCCGTATCTGAACTTCAGGTCTTAGCTCATTCTGTTCCCTCAGTGAGGGACCATGCCATTCATTACCTTTACCTCCTCACTGCAGCTCCAGTCCAATCCCTCACAGGGCTGGTGGGAGTTCCCTGGGATTTGGAGTTTATCTGTTAGCTGTTACCATAGTTGATGTCATTTCCAGTTGGGAGATGGGCCAGTGATGGCCCTACCTCCTGACACTGCTGTGTGACCTTAGAGAACTCACATAAGCTTGCTGTGTATAGAATGAGGACACGAGGGATACCAATGGCTCTGTGTCTTGACACACAGTAAATGACACCATGGAAGGTTTATTAAGTAAGTTTAGCAAAGAAAGGGTGCATGGTGAAATTCTCACCCACAGAATGTTCTCACCACTAGGCCTTGGGCCCAGGGAACACCTGGAGGCAGGGTCTGATCTAGGTCACTTCTGTGTCCCACCCTGGCCTGCCACACAGTAGGTGTTTCAGTATGTGTATGGGGTGGGGGGCAGGAAGCTAAGGTGGGACCTGGGAGGGGCCTCTGGGCTCAGCTTGACCCACATTCTACAAATGTACTTCCTCCCAATCCCACCCCGCAGGCCCGGGTCCTGCTTCTAGGCGGGTCGGTGGTTCCCGGGCGGACCTCCCAGAGCTGTAAATAAATTCCAGAGGGTTTAGTGGAGGGACTCAGGAGCAGAGGCCAGAGGGGAGCATTCCTCCTTCCTCCGCCAAGCAGTGAGGCCCCTGACACCAGATGCTCAGAAGATTCCAGACCCTGTCTCCAGACTCAGCACAGGCCCCAGGCTGTCATCTGTGTTGGATCTGCTCACAGCCTGTTTGT